CGGGACTGGGACCGAACTGAGTTCCTCTCTCACCGTGGTCCAACAGACTTTTCCTACTGAGCTTCTAAATTGTCTTTGGCGTTTGTAGGTTGAAAAGTCTTGAAACTGCCACAGCTCCCCTTGATTCAATCTCCTGAGGACTGCTCCAGGTTTGCTGAGGCCTGGTCTTTGCCTGCAGGCTCACGCTGAACTATGCTCCTCTCCCAGCCAGGCACAATAGACCTTTCCAATCAACCATCCAGGTTGTCTTGGGCTGGAAATTTGTTTCACTCTGTCATTTTGTGGGTTCTGCTGCTCTAGAATTTGTTTAGAGCCATTTTTTACAGGTATTTGGAGGGTTTGGGGGAGAACTCAAGCAAGTCCCTGCTTTTACTTCACCATCTTGGCTCCACCCCCAGAAGCCTAATAAAACCAACATGACCAACTCTTATATTCATCTCTGCCCAAGAACCTAGGAGTCATCCTTCCATTTAGCTTCCCTCTCTTTATCTTCTGTTTTCATTTACAGCAAGATTGTCAGTATGGATGTGTCTCATTTCCTCCAACCAAGAAGTAGTCAGGCAGCAAGCTTTTACAAGTACTTACTATATGCTGGGCACTGTGCTAATGTTAAACATGAGGGATGCATATATAAGTAAAAAGAAACAGTTCCTGCTCTCAAGGAGCTTAGATTCTAATAAGAGAAGACAGCATATGAAAGGGACATGGAGAGAAGGAACCCCTATGGGGACCAGGCAGCCTGGAAGGTGAGAAAAAAGCTTTTCATAATACCCTTCTCATGGTGGTGAAATCCAAGAAAATCAAAATGTTGAATGAAGCATAGTGAGCCTGTATCAGTCCCTAAAATGAAGGTGTCAGAAGGAATTCACCAGTGAAACAAGGGGTCAGGTGTGGCAGGAGATCAGTGTTCCAGGGTAAGAGGGCAGTTTAGTCATGGTGGCAAAATCAGCATTAGTAGATGGACATAGGATCATAGATTTTAAAGCTGGTAGGGACCTGAAAGGTCTTATCCATTTACGTAAATTCATAACCTGGTGGCCAATTTTCTCCTTATGAGCCTATGAGCCTGTCTTTGCTTAGGCAGCCGATACCTGGTCTCTGGCATGACCCATACTTAACACCTTGCCAGCCTGGTAAAACCTGCCAGGACTTGTGCTGCCCTGTCATAGTCCTCCAGAACCCAGGGTCACATCCATGCCACAGTGAGGCATCAGCAAAAGAGTTTTTTTAAGAGGTGCCAAGTGACTAATCCTGCAAAATATTATAGAAGTTTTGGTATTAGGAACTTTCCACATAGGAGGGAGAGTTGCTAGCTAAAGTGTTAACAAGGAGTACACCCTTAGTACCTGCACCTATAACCAGTCTGTCTCTTACTTAGGGAAGACAGAACTGATATTAGCATCTGTAAAATAAGGGGGTCAAACTAGATGACCTCTAATGGCCTTTCCAGTGCTAGGCCTTTGGTGTAATGACATTGTGGTCATATAGATGTCATAGATTGTGTAACAAACATGACTCATTTGTGGGGCGCCTTCATAGGTGAAAACAGATTTTGTTTTTGCTGTTCCTAGATTTAGAAAATTATTTTTTCCTGTGACTACTGAGAAAAAATGCTGAAATACTGGGAAAAAGAGAGAAAATACATAACAAGATAATCTCAGGGCCAAGTGCTGTACCATTGTACTGCAGTGCTATTTTAAATTATGAGAATGGAGATTTAAGTAAAGAACGGTTCTTCCTGGGAGTTTGACGTTGCTTGTCTTGCTAGAAAGAAGCTGGACTATTCTGTTACGCAGAGCAAAGCATGCTCATAAATTTTTTTAAAAAATTATTATGAACTTGACAAATATCAACAAGCATGAACATGTCATAAAACAAACAAAAGAAGAAGAAGCAAATGAGACTCTGACTCTCAGTTATGTGCAGCTGGTGAATTTTTTGTATGGTTCAAATTTAATTTGGTAGTACCAGCACTGCCCTTGTGGTGTGTCCCCTTCTGAACTTCCTTCTGCTCTCTTCTGTGTATTTTTAATTATTCGTTGACTATATTTTTTCTTTTTTAGTACTCCCTCCACCCCTCACCCAAAAAAAAAAAGGCCCTCTCATCACGAGTAAATATGTTCGCTCAAAACAAATCCGTAAAAACCATGTCTGAAAAAAAAATGCCTCAGAAGGTACCTCTAGAGATCATCTTTCTGCCACGAGTGGAAGTTAATGATCAGTCATTGCATTAATCATAGTTTTGGAGTCTTTCGTCGTTGTTCACTTTTACAGTGTTGTTATCACTGTATAAATTGTTCTCCTGGTTCTTCTCACTTTACTCTGTGTCAGTCTACATAGTACCTTCCAGATTTCTCTAAAGCCACTCCTTTCATCATCTTTTATGGCGCAGTAAAATTCCATTACATTCATATACCAGAATTTGTTCAGTCATTCCCCAGTAGATTAACACTCATTTTGTTTCCAGTTCTTCATTACTAGAAAAAATATTATTATAAATGTTTTTGCATATGTGAACCCTTTCATTCTGTCTTTCATCTCCTTGGGATAGTCAAAGTGTAATGTCCAAGTTAGCTACTTTTGGGGGGATAGCTCCAGTTTGCTTTCCAGAACATAATTCCCCTAAAAATGCCTGTCCTCCCAAAGTCCATCCAACAATTGTCATTTCCCTTTCTGGTCATTTTTGCCATTCTGATAGGTGGGAGATGGAACCGCAGAGTTGTTTTGATTTGTAATTCTTTTATTTTTGGTGTCTTGGAGCTTTTTTACATGGTTGGTGATAGCTTATATTTCTTTTTTTCATTCTTTTAAAAAATGTTTTATTGATGTATTGATTTTATATCACCAGTTTCACTTAGTATCCCCTCTCTTTCCCCCTCCCAGAGAGCCATCTCATATAACAAATTATATTTTTAAGATCACCCCCCCCAAAAAAGGGGAAAAATAAGCACAATTAATCAATGCATTGAAAACATCCAAAAATAAGTTCATACTTGTGGACCTCTCACCTCTGCAAAGGGGTGAATAGAGTAGGAGTGTCTTCTAATATTTCTTTTTATCAAGACAGTTTACGTTTTTTCAATTGAGAGCTGCCTTTGCGAAATCCTGTGATCTTTTATTTATTGTGAGTTAATATGACTTAGATCCAAAAGAGACCGTAAGAGCTCATCTCATCCAGCCCCCTTATTTTATAGGAAATTATGGGCCAGAGAGGAGCAGGGACTTGCTTCAGTACAAACAGGTAGCATCAACTAGAATTCAGATGCAGCTCCTTTAACTGCAGATCCAGCCCTCTTCTCACTTTAGTAGGGGGCTCTCTGACCATTTTAGAGGAAGTTGTAGGATAAGGCCTTTTCAAATCATGTAGAATGGAGAATCTTCCTTGTTACATTCCTGCTTTAGTCAAGAAAGAATGAATTCTTTTCTATATAAATTGTGTTAAATAAACAATAATTGGTTAAGAAGAAGTGGTCTTTTTCATCTTCCTAAAGCTATTCATGTAGAGTAGTGGGGAAATTATAGAGTTTGAAGTAAAGGTATGGCCTCATTGGACATAATTTTCCCTCCTGTACTCTCTGATCTGCTCTTATCTTTGCTCCTCCCACTTGAGTCCCCCAAGACTACATTGCAGACCCTCCTTACCTCCACCTCCCAGATTCCCTTGCTTCCTTTATGATGTAGCTCAGGTACCATCTTCTGAATAAAGCCTTTCCTCATCCCCTCCAGCTATTAGTATGGAGATGTATGGAGTGTGCAGGGACGACTAGCATCTTGGTGTGAGGGCTGCCGAGCCCTCTTCAGGACTGTTCATCTACCTTTGATGTGCACCTTTCACCCAACTCTCACCTGTGACTCCAAAAAGCTGTAGCATGTGCAGCAGCCACACCCCAGTAAAATCATCTCAGCTGACAGGCTGAAGGTGACTAACAGGCCTCGAACCTGTTAGCGAGTTAGGGGAATGTCTACCCCAAGCATGTGAAGACTTCCCAGCAGGATGGGCAGATGAGAACAGTTTGTTCCAGCGGCTGTGAAGGCAGCGGAAGCAGGTACTGTGGAGTCCTTAGAGCTTGGTCAGATATCAAAGATGCCTCGGTCATCCATTGCATCCCTGACCATCACCAGCCATATTGACTTTTGTCCTGCCACCTGACTTTGATGACTCTGGAAGAAAGAGTAAGGCTGATGACTGTGCAACTCTGCGTCACTGAAGTGCAATCCATGAGCAAGTAAAGACATCACCAGTGATGTCATTGGTCCTCTTCAGAAACAAAGGACAAACAACAACTACTTTGCATTTAACATGCTTTGTGTGTACTCGTATTTATTCACTTTATATTTTTGCCGTGTGTGTGTGTGTGTGTGTGTGTGTGTGTGTGTGTGTGTGTGTGTGTTGGCTCTCCCCATTAAAATGCAGTTTTCTGTGAATAGAGAATGTTTCATTCTTTCATTCTTTGTATTTGTATCCCAAATCCTATCACAGTTCTGGCATATAATAGATACTAATAAATACTTGTTTATGGATTTGACTCTTTATAGTTGCAATTTTAATTAGGCCATACATTTGTTTAATTTATTTAAATGTGATGTATAATAATAACTCAGTAATTATTATTAAAATATCAAACTTGTAATTTATTTTAAATTATTGTAATAATAAATTTATAATTTATGATAAATTTAATTTCTTTAGAGCAATTTATTTAAGCAATACATTTATTTATAAAGTACATATTTAGTGCTTAATAAATACTTGTTGATTGATTTGATTATATTTATTGTCTGAGAATGTGGATTCAAATCCTGGCTAAGCCACTTACTACCTGTGTGACTGTGTATAGGTCACTTCACCTCATGGGCCTCGCTTTCCTCATTAGTTAATGAAGAAGGTGGACAACATAAACTCTGAGGACTTGTCCGACCTAAATCTAGAATGTTAAGTAAAAATTCCTCGAAATGGGACAAGAGAGACTGCCACTTGATATTTCTGTTTTGCTTTCCAGATATTGTGAAACCACCTGGTTCTTTGCAGCCCTCAGCTGACTTCCCTTTAGCTGTAAATACGTCCCCACCCTCTATGCAGATGGATCCATCCTCTGGCACTCTACCTCCTCCCTATCAGCTAATCAATTTACCAGCACACCTGGAGCCTCTTCCCATTCAGGATGATCCCCAAGACTACCTCTTGCTCATCAACTGTCAAAGCAAGAAGCTTGAACCCACAAGGTAAAATCCTTCACTGTCTGATCTTTTTTAAAATGTGGTGTTTACAGTTTCTGCAATTCAAGGTTGGAGGTCTGCTTTCTCTGCAGTATGAATAATGTCGTGTATTGAGGTTAACTGATATGCAGGGAAGTGGTAGGAGAGATCTTAACTGTGGGCTGCAGGGTACGGGCTCATTTCACAAGGCTCTGTCAGAAGGCTGTGTGCTACTGCAGGTTGTCATACGGAGCCTCTGCTGCAGACTGAACTTGCCTACGAGATTTCACTGATGTGTAAATGGTGATCTTGGGGCAGCTAGGTGGCGCAGTGGATAGAGCACCGGGCCTGGATTCAGGAGGACCTGAGTTCAAATCCGGCCTCAGACGCATAACACTTGCTAGCTGTGTGACCCTGGGCAAGTCACTTAACCCCATTGCCCAAAATAACAACAACAACAAAGATAAATAAATAAACAAATAAATAAATGGTGATCTTGCTCCATTTCTTATGTGATTATAAACCAGCCAAGGGTCCTCTTTTGTTTCTGAAGAAGGAGAGGAATATCTACTTCTCGAAGACTTTGAAAGCAAAAAGATCCCGTTGCTGTGAGTGTTGGTGTTCTGTGGCTCCTTGGGGGGATGGGCATGTCTGTGTGTGAGGAATTAATTGCAGTAGGTAAAATCCCTACATAACAAAGGCTGAGGGGCATCTAAATTGTTGGGTTGGAATGGAATTTAATTTAATTAAAATATGCTGCTAGAATTCCTCTTTTTCATCTGAGTGACTGGGGAGAATAATCTAGGAGACAGAATATGATAACAAAGGAAAGGTCTGGGGACCTGGAGTCATAAAGAACTGGACCCAGATCCCAGCTTTGGCAGTTACAAATGATCTTGAGAAAGTCTTCTCTGACCCTCAGTTTCCTTACCTGTAAAATGAAGGGTTGAACTAGATGATCTTGAAGGTTCCTTCCAGTTCTGAAACAATGATTCTGTAAAGTTGAAAGGATTCAGAACCTTTCTAAATCCCCCTCCCCCCAGAAAAAGAAAAAAGTTTAAAAAAAATCCTACCTTCCTCTTCCACAGTCCTGGATCTGATCATATCTAGTTTGACATTTTAGGTGGGTCTGTAGAGGTAGTTGATATATCTGAGGGAGGTACGGGTAAGGAGAGTTGGAAGGCAATAGTTATTTGATGCCTCTGTAGTTTAGAAAGAGCTTGGAGTCAAGAGACTTGCATATGATTCACCAACACAGGGGAAACAGTGTAGGAAGGAGCTCCTTCTGCCCAAATTTCAGAGCCCTTGACCTAAGTCCTGATGAGTTACCTCCGGTATGCTAGGGGACCGTCCAGGGTCTCACTACTAGTAAGTGGGTAGCACGGCCCAGAAGCCCAGCGTTTCCTGACTTTTCTGACCAGTGCATCACACTGACTTGATGATGGATGTAAAAGCCTTTAAAGGACCATAAAAAGGGGAACTTGGGACTGACTCCTTTCTCTACCCTTAAAGCGCATGGTAATTAAGTTGTTAAACAAGTTCTTTCTCTATAGTTGGTGACCACCATGTGAGCCAGGACCTCATTCTTTGGATCTGTATAGAATCTTTTGTAGTGAGGTCTACCGAGCTCTTGCTTGTGGGCCTTTCATGGGGCGTGGAAGGCATTTTCTCCCTTTATCAGAGGAAGGTTCTTTGTATTTGTTGTGATGGGATTTTGCCTGTAGAAGAAAGGTTGTTTTTTTTTAAATCTCACTAGTTAATAATATCCATTCTAACTTGATTTTGCTCTGTTTGCTGTGTGTGTTTTAAGATTTCATGTCTCCAGCTTTATTTCCTCCATAACTAACCAAGGTTCTTCTTAAAAGTAGGAGTGCCACTATTCCATTGTTGACTTTTTCAAATGGACTGCCATACTACAGGTTTTTAATACGTTTTCCCTTTTGCCTGGAGTCATCTCTTAACCAATAATAGCTCACATTTACATAGGTCTTTAAAGTTCATAAAACACTTTGTATATATTATTTCATTTGATTGGTGAGGGCACAGCTGTTGCAGTACTGCACTGCTCTGGTAGGAATTGCCATAATCATTCTCTAATCATTTTTGGTACATAAATTATGAATAAGTGAAAATCTCATAATAAGTACTTCAGGGTGCTAGAGAGGCAGTAATAGAATAGAGAGCTTAGGGTCAGGAAGACCTGAATCCAGATCCTAACTCTGAAGAATACTGTCTGTGTGACTTTGAAACAAATCATCAGGTGTTTCCATGCCTCATTGAGGCAACTCTGTGTTGCAGAACCAGTTTTCTCATCAGGAGTTCTCTATACCAGTGAAATCAAATATCTGGTTTAAAAAAAAAGTATCTCCTATATGCCCAACACAGTGCTAGGGGACACAATCCTTTTCTTCAATTCAGTTCAACTTAACAGTTATTTATTAAAAAGCTACTAAGTCCCAAGTGTCACGCTCCCTCAAGGAGTATACCTTCTATTTAATGCACAAAGTGTAGATGTGAAGTAATTATAGAATAAGACAGCATAAATTGAAGAATTAAAAAATGGGGGACACCAGCATTAGAATTCAGGGAAGGGAAAGCTCCCTATGGACTCGAGTCATTGCAAAGGCTTCACAGAAAGGGGGGTGGGGAACTAGGTGTGCCTGTAATCAGGGTAAGGATTTGGATGGGCAGAGAGACAGGAGACTGCGTTTCAAATCGTATGTAAACAACAGGAAGGCAGAGAGGAGGACAGACATGAAAAGAAAAGTAGAGTGATCAGATTGACTGATGTGTTCTAAACAGAACAGAGCTTGGAGTGGAGTGGAAATTGTAGGATACACAGTAGCACAGACAACTTCAAGTCAGACCCTCCAGAGCCTTGACTCAGGAATTTGGACTGCTTCAGCTGATCTCATCATCTTCCCTTGAAACCTACTCCTCCTGCTGATTTCTCTGTTAGTTACTATTGATGCCTCCATCCTCCTTGTCCTCTAAACTTGAAACCTCAAAGTTACTCCGGCCTCTGCCCTCTTCTATGACCACTTCTTTCTCTCTCTCTCTCTCCTCACAGCATCTGGGCAGCCCTGCCATTTCGCTCTGCACATTTTCTCTTCCCTCTGCCTCCATCACCCAAGTTCAAGGCTTTATTGCCTCCTGCTTAGCTTCAGGGGTTTGCTGGAGCCAGTTGTTAAATTTTCAGTGTGAGCATTTATACTTCCAAAATCAATAAATGTAACAAATCAAGGCTCCATTTAATGTTTTATTGATTATCTATAGAGATAATATTATTGATTAAGATAATTGATTATCTATCAAGAAATTGATGGAAAAACTGTTAATAACACAAATTAAACTTAAAAGTGTGTTGTATATACATTTTTATTTTTTAAAGGCATTGACATGAAATAATTAAAAATGTTAAACATTAGGGGCAGCTAGGTGGCGCAGTGGATAGAGGTCCAGCGTTGGAGTCAGGAGGACCTGAGTTAAATTTGGCCTCAGACACTTGACACTTACTAGCTGTGTGACCTTGGGCAAGTCACTTAACCCTTATTGCCTCACCAAAAAAAAAAAAAGGTTAAACATTTACCAACCCACACTTGACCAGACTGTTGTGATAATTTCCTCCCTGCTCTCTCTGCCTCTAGTCTTTTCCCTTCCCAATCTATTATCCATTATCCATTTGCCAAAATAATCTTTGTAACACACAGGTCAGAAGTCCTCATTCTGATGCTTAAGATCTTCCTCAATCTGTCTGAGGTAGCTTGGTGGCACAGTGGGCCTGGAATCAGAGAGACCTGAATTCAAATGTGGACTCAGATACTTACTAGTTTCCTTCCATTGGGCAAATCACTTCAACCCTCTTTGTCTCAGTTTCCTCAACTATGAAATGGCAATAATGATAGCACCGGGGATAGCTAGGGGACTCAGTGGATAGAGCACCAGGCCTTTGGTCTGGAAGATCTGAGTTTGCCTCAGTTCCTTATCTGTAAAATGAGCTGGAGAAGGAAATGGAAAGCCACGCCAGTATTTTTGCCAGGAAAACCCCACAGACATCATTGGCAAGCTATGGTCCATGGAGTCATGAAGACTCAGAGAAAAATGAATTACTCAATAACAACAGCAGCAAATAAACCCCTGCCTCCCATGTTGTGAGGATCAAATGAGATAACATTTATAAAAAAGCACTCAGCATAGTGCCTGGCATATAGTAGGCACTATGTAAATCCCTACTCTCTTTTCCCTGTCTCTAGCCTACCTTTCTAGCCTTCTTTAATAATTTTCTTTTTTACATACACAGTCTTACAGATAAATTGGACTGCAAACTATCTGCTCCCTGATTTAATTCACCTTTAATAATTAAATTCTGATTAATTAAATGCATTAATTTAGGAAGATCCTAATTAATTAAACCCATTAATTGAATTATCTGATTAATTTAATCCCTGTGCCTCTTTGATTTTATATAGATTGTTACCCCTTGCCTGGAATAGTCTTGTTCATTTCTGCCTTTTGAAATCTTCTTCCAGACTCAGCCCAGGTGCTGCTTCTACCATGAAGCTTTCCCTGCTCCCACCTTCCCCAGCCAAAAGCCATGTCTTCTTCCTCAAATGTCCCTGGAGCACTTTGACACTTGTGCTTTGAGGTAGGGGAGCAAAATGGTACAGATGGAAAGAGCTCTTTCTTTTTGCCTGGAGTCAGAGGACCTGGCTTTGTGTCTGGCCTCTGATGCTTACTTGTGTGATCCTGGGCAAGTCACTTCAACTCCTAGGCCTCAATTTCCTTCACTGTAAAATGAAGGGGATGAACTAAGAGCCCTCTGAGGTTCCTTCCGAGCTCCAGATCTGTGATCATAGGATACTCCTGTCACTTGCCATCAAATATTTATATGTTTATAGATCTCTTATCTCCTGCTGGGATATTAACTTCTTCAGGGGAAGCACTGTGCTGTTTTTCGTGGCATATCCACTCCCTACGATGGGGCCTTGTTTCATAAAAGTTGGTTCAATTCAATTTGTTGAAATAATTGTATTGGGAAGCCTGGGGGTATGGTGGAAAGAACAGGATTAAATCCTGGTTCTGCCCCAAAGCCATCCTGTACCTGTATAGCGTTGAGTTGGACCTCTGAGGTCCTTCTAGCTCTAAGCTTGTGATCCTATGAATTAAACTCTACCTATTGCCTACTAGAGAATTGTTAGGGCTTTCTAAGCAGGGGAAATGACACACTGAAAATGGTGTTTATTCGGGGATGTGCTGGTAAATGTTTAACAACTGGCTGTCCATGGGGTGGAGGGGGAGTATACACACAGCAGCCTTTTAAGTTTAATTAAATCTTGATAACCAACAAACACTCTAATTTATAGAGGTTGCTGGCTTCTGAGATGTAAATGCTCATACAGAAAATTTAACAATTAGTTCTTACAAGGAACGTCAGGCTGGCTCCAGCTCCTGTCTGTATTTAAACCTCTGCATTTATCTGTTATCAGTATGAAGAATGGGACCAGACTTGGTGATTGGTTAGCTATAAAGTAAAAGAGAGGGACAGGGTCAAAGGTAACTCCAGGGCTTTAAGCCAATAGGATTGAGGAATGATGCTGCCCGGGATCAAAGTAAGGAAGCTGGGATTCTGAGCAAATGAATTTACAGGGAAGGTGTTGACTTTAAGATGACAGTAGGGCATCCACGTGGAAATACCCTTTGGGCAGCTGAAAATGAGTCAGACTCTGGCAAGAATTGGAATGATGGTAGGGGGTGAAGAATTAGATTCATGGTTGAGTCCATGAGAATGGATGAGTGCTATATGACCTATAGCTAGAAGGGACCTTGGAGTTCTTCTTGTCCAGGAGTTCTTACCCTGGGCCCTATGAATGTGCCTTGTGATAAATTATGGGGCAGCTAGATGGCACAGTGGATACCTAAGGTCAAATCCAGCCTGTAACACTTACTGGCCATGTGACCCTGAGTAAATCACTTTAGCCCCTCTTTGCCTCAGTTTACTCATCTGTAAAATGGGGATAATAATAGCACCTATTACAACAAGCAGACTTGTTGTGAGGATCAAGTAAGATAATAATTGTAAGGTGCTAAGTACAGTGCCTGGCACATAGTAATTGAGAGAGATAGATGTAAATATACACATGTGTCTATGCACATAGATATATATATATAGATATATATATATATGTACATGTAAAATAAATACATACGAATATATTTATTTATATGTGTATATTAGCTACTGATAACTCCATTTCAGTTTAATCTGGTTTCCTTTATAATCTTATCTGTTTGACATTGTGCATTTTAAAACATTCTGGGAAAGGGTCCTTAGTTTTCACGAGGCCTGCAGAGGTTAAGAACTGCTACCCATTATGCCAATATTATGATTTCACAGAGGAGGAAAGAAAGTGATTTGCCTAAAGTCTCCAGTCTTTTAAGTAGTACAGCTAGGATTTGAACCCAGATCCTCTTGATTCCTAAGCCAGAGTATTTTCCACTGTATCCTGCTTTCTCCAAGGGAAAAAATGTAACAAGAAGAATAATCAGAATTCAATTTATATAATACTTTCCAATCTACAGAATGCTGTCCTCAAAGCAAGGGGCAGCTAGATGTATAGAGCGCTGGGCCTGGAGTCAGGAAGACTCATCTTCCTGAGTTCAAATCTGGCCTTAAACACTTCTTAGCTGTGTGACCCTGGGCAAGTCATTTAACCTTATTTGCCTCAGTTTTCTCATCTGGAAAATGAGCTGGAGAAGGAAATGGCAAAGCACTCCAGTATCTTTGCCAAGAAAACCCCAAATGGAGTCATGAAGAGTCAAACACGACTGAAAAATGACTGAACAACAAGGCCTCACATCAACCTCGTGAAGTTTGTAGTGCAGTTTATTTTATCTTCATTTTATAGATGAGGAAACAGATTCAGAGGGTAGGTGATTTGTAATAAATATTGGAGCCTGGTTTCTTCAAAGCAAGACTTCTTCTGGCCCGTTAATACCATGTAGCTTCTCAAGTAGCAGGGAGAAATGATGGCATCATGGGGAAAAAATTGAACTGGAAATTCTGAAGGTCAGGACTGTTGTCTCATTTCTGCTACTAAACTCTTGTGTCTATGGTAACCAATGAGTTTCTGTGGCATAGTGGAAAGTGCACTGTATTAAAATCAGGATCAAAACACGGGATTTCATATTCTGACTTGAACATTAATTTTATGATGATAGACAAGCCGCTTGACCTCTGGACTTCAATTTCCACACCTGTAAAATAGGTGGAATTTCATAATCCCATTCTGAAAGGGCTATTGAAAGGCTTAAGTGAGATGATGTGTATGAAACACTTTGCAAACTTCAGAGTGCTACATAAATCCGTTATGATTGTCAGCATAAATAAATATGGTGATAGCTAACTGTCATCCTCGTCATACAAAGCTTTGTGACCTTGACTAATCATTTAAGCTTTCTGGGCTTCAGATTCCCCATCCATAAATGGAGTGTCCATATTATCTCTAAGATTCCTTCCAGTTCTAAAATGCTGTGATTCTATGGCCAAGACACAAGGGACTTAGACAATTGGACCTTGAGAAGGAGGAGAAACCAACTCAGAGAGAGAAGCAGGATAGTGGCAGTGTCACAGAACCAAGGGAGAAAAGTGTTTGTTTTTGTTTTTTTTTCAAAACGTATGGTCAGCAGTATCAAATGCTGCAGAGAGGTCCAGGAGATGGAGACAGAAAATATATCCCAAGTTATTTCAGGAAGTAATTCCATTGAAATGCACCAGGGGTTCTCATTCAACCTAAGCAGATGATGAGTGCTTCTTGTTCAGCCATCAGCCGAAAGGTATGGGTTTTGCTAATGCCATTAGTTTTGTGTTGGCTTGTGTGTGTGAAAGCTATTTGAAACCCCTCCCTCACCCCCAGCACCATTAATTCCAATCCTAATTTAGCTGAACGTTTCTCTGCCTGTCCAAACAAAAGGTATGATGTGAAGAAAATAATTTCCATTTCTTAAAGTTTGTTGTGACTTGGAGGTGGTTAATTAAGTTTCTTAGATTTCTAATTCTCTTCCCATATGGTACTTGCATTACTGGCTGGTTTCCAGTGAAGGGGAGTAACTGCAAAATAGATAAAGATGCAAAATCCATCAAACCCCTGTACTACAAACCTACATAGCTCACACCAAATTCTAACCAAACTATGTCATCTTTATGTTTTTAACTATACCAGGCAAGAGATTGACATAAGTGGGTAAAATTACCTAGTAAAGCTTCATATAAGTGTTCAGAGGAGATATGTCTGTATGTTAAACATTTACCCTTCCCAGAGTTTAATAACCCTTCTGAGTCTAGTTGTGGGATAGACTGGGAGAGTGAAGGATGGCAGGTGAGATAGAAGACCTAAGGGGAATTGGGGTGCATTTGGAGTTGTTATTTGTAGTGATATTATTGTGTACTAGTTGGGATATTTTCTGCCCTCACAATTTAACTGCTACCTTCCATTCATTTGATGCATAACTGTGCTCATTGCCCTGGCTAGGCCACATTTGGAATGCAATTTTCCATTCTGGCCTCTGTATCATAGATAATCTAGAAGCTGTCCAAAAGAGGGCCTTGAGCACATGTAAAATGAAAAAACTGGGGATGTTTAGCCTGAAAAAGAGAAGACTCAGGGTGAGTACAATAGCTTAGCTGTCTTCAAATACTTCAAAGACTGTCCAGCAGAAACATGAGATGGGTTTTTTGGCCCTAGAATACAGATCTAGGAGCAATTAGAGGAATTTGCAAAGAAGCAAATTTAGGCCTTTGAAAGAGAAAGCTTCCTGACAATTGGACTTAAACCGGGGTGGAATGGATGCTTAGGGGGAGTAGCAGGATTCTCTGCATTGGACATCTTCTAGCAAAGACTGGATGACCATGACCACTGTCATGCATGTCATTGAAGGGATTCTTCCTTTTCAGCACAGATTAGATCCAGATTCTGATTGAGTTCCCTTCCGTCTCAGAAGTTCGGTGATTTTTGTGATTAAATGAATAAGACACTCAGCACCGCCCCCCCCCCAACAAAAATCAAGTTGTATATTTTAATTGTTAAGCTGTTTTATTTTGTTTTTTGGTTAAAACTGAATAAGTTATCCTGTGCTTTCACCATACTAATAATCTGTTCTGTCCTTAACAATTCTTGTCTAGACCACACGCTGATTCGGCAAAATCCACCTCTTCGGAGACAGACTGCAACGATAATGTCCCTTCTCATAAAAATTCTGCTTCCTCTCAGAGCAAACATGCGGTGAATGGCTTTTTTCAACAGCAAACCATGTATGACCCTCTACCCTCCCGAGCTGCCTCTGTTTCTATAGACTCCGGCCTATATAAACTGCCCCGGAGTTTCTCCCATGATGTCTTACCAAAGACAGCATCTCCATTGAGCACCGAGGCGGACGGAGAGCTTTATGTTTTTAATACACCATCTGGAACATCCTCCCTAGAAACGCAAATGAGACATATCTCCATTGGTTATGACATTCCCCCCACACCTGGGAACACGTACCAGATTCCAAGGACTTTTCCAGAAGGAGCTTTGGGTCAGACGTCCAAGTTAGAGACGATCCCAGATATTCCTCCACCACGGCCCCCGAAACCACACCCAGCTCACGACCGATCACCTGTGGAAACATGTAGCATTACCCGCACTGCCTCAGACACGGACAGTAGTTACTCTATCCCCACAGCTGGGGTCCCGCCATCTCGTAGTAATACCATTTCCACTGTGGATTTGAACAGATTGAGAAAAGGTCAGCCTTTATGGACTTGCAGATTCCACTGTGTTGCTTGTACCAGAGTTTGAATGAACGGGTGGTCACTGGGCTTTTCAGAGGGTCTGATTTTTCAGAAGTGGTTAAGCAGTTATGATTTTTATCTTGTTCTTCGGCTATTCCCACGTTAGCATCCTGTCCTGGCAGCCTGGTGGTAGGTTACTGACCTACGCTTAAACTTAGCCTTTAAAACTGTTCTTTAGCCTCATCGGGAACACATTCGTTTTCCCTAATTCCTTGCCTTACCCGGCCCAGGAAAAAGAATTGGAATAGCCTCAGAGCTCCTCTTCTGTGCTTGTGGATACCATTTTTAAAAACTCTTTCATTGGTTCTGCTTCCCCTTTCTGTGAGGTGTCATGGTTCATGAGTGAGTGATTAATCAGCCATGCAGATAGCGGTTTTTAAACCATCTTAGTTGCAAAGCCAGTTTTAATGGGTCTTTGTAAATATCTATCCAGAAAATGTTTCATGGAGGCATTTTTCTATACCTATATAAATTGCATGCTCCACGACCCTACTTTTTACATCCTGTTATAACAATGCCCTCAAAGCTCATGATGTGGAAGAAAAAAATATTGTAAGTAAAATGGCCATGTGATGGGATCTTTCTATAGAAATCTCCTTCGTGGAAAATATATACTTTGTCCAAGATAAGACCTGCCTTATACCAGAATCCATACTATGGATCTTCCATTGTATTTATCTTCAGTGTATAAGATTTTAAAGGATTTTCCTGAAGGTCATACACATACCTATTTGACGTTAAGTGTCTCTCTCTCTTCCTTGTTCTTTTAGAACTGTGCAAAATTAGTTATTTTTTCTAAAGAAATGTGTGTGTGTTGCCATGGAAAAATCACTGAATTTGCAGTCAGAAGACTTAGGTTTGAATCTCAGCTGTCTTATATATTACCTGTGTGAAATTGTGCCAGTAACTTCCTTTCTGAAGGCCTCAACTTCCTCCTCTGTGGAATGAGGGGGTTGGATTTGATGATCACCTCAGATAAGCCCTTTCCAGTACTAAATTTGTAACCCTCTAAGACAGGGGTTTTTAAGCCTTTGTGGGTCATGGACCCCTTTGGCGTCTACTGAAAACTGTGGACCCTTTCTCAGAATGAAGTTTGTAAATATATAAAATAAAAATCAGCATTACATAGTGAACTATCATATTGAAATATAGTTATCAGAATATTTAAAAAGTAATCTTCTTTGTGGATATTAAATAAAACATGTTCAAAATCTAGGCAAGTTAAGGCTATTGTTGTCTTTGTATAAAGGAGATACTAAATTTCGGTTAGAGGTTAGTGGAAATAGAAATGTAATATTTTTCCCATCCAAGTTTACAGAACCCCCCCTCCCCCAATCTATCCACAGGTTTTTTGAGACCCATGGATCCCCAAGGGTGAGAACCCCTCCATTAAGATGATCAGATAGGGCTATGCTATGACAGGTTTTCTAAACAGTTTTAATGTAGAACCAACATACCATTCTGTTAGGTGAAGATACACATTTATATTTTTTAAAATAGGGCAGAATTTAAGTGGAAAAAAGTCCAAGTTCTGCTTTAAAATAAGGAGATCAGATTGATAAAGGTTTGCGTGAAGTGTGTATGTCTATTGTCCCCCACAACTGCCAAGACATCTGTGTCTTGTGAACACAGCTCACAGGCACAGTTAAATATAAGATTATAGTCATGAAAATAAACCACTACCAGTCTAGCTTGTTAATGAAACTCTAGCCCAGTACTAGAAATGGGTGACTGAATCAGCCTACTAATGAATCCGAGGGTGAAGGCTACTGTTGTCCAGCTTCTGCCTGCCCTCGGCAAAGATGGCCTTAGAGGTAGCAGGAAGGCTTCTTAATAACAAGCTGGAAAACAGAGATACCTCTCTGCTTCTAGCTTCACTATTCACTTAAGTTCATAGGATCTCAGACCTAGCACTGGAAGGGACCTCAGATTTGCCTTCTTTGCACATAACCCACAAGTAAATATAAGACATACGAAAAGAAAATAGAGTTACTCAGGTGCCAAGAAGTTACTTGTCTTTCCCAGAGACACATAGCAGAGGCTGTGTTTGAATCCAGGGTTTCCTGACTCCAAGCCCAGGCCACTCTGTCCACTCTACTAGACTGCCTGCTTTGTATAGTGTTTAGAATCAGGAAGAGTGTGTAAGCCAGCCAGATTGATACTGTTCTGTTAGAGGGCATTTTTAAATCTTATATTTTCAAAAAATTTTATTTTTTTACATATTTTTTAACATAAGGAAAACAGATCATTCCTGATTATTCTGGGAATGACTTCTTAAATAGGAAGAATTTGTAATTTATTGTTCTTTCTTTTAGACGCTAGTTCTCAAGACTCCTATGATATTCCACGAACATTTCCAACTGATAGATCTAGCTCACTTGAAGGCTTCCACGGCCACCTTGTAAGTATAACTGGCTTCTGGCATCTCACCCCAGCAAAAATTTTGTGCATTTTAGCATCATGGAACCAAAAAAAAAAAGATGTTTAAGTGGACAAGTAGCTCCTTATTTCTAAGAAGCAGGTGGGATTTATCATGCTGATGTCACCTCAGATCATCACTTCTGTCTTTATTAAAAGAAACGTGTGTTGTGTGTTTTAGAAAAACAAAAGCATGTTGACAATGGGGAGTGTATCGAGTGAAGAACTGGATGAAAACTATGTCCCAATGAATCCCAACTCTCCTCCACGACAGCATTCCAGCAGTTTTACAGAGCCAATTCACGAAGCCAATTATGTGCCAATGACACCAGGGACATTTGACTTTTCATCGTTTGGAATGCAGGTCCCGCCTCCTGCTCACATGGGCTTCAGGTCAAGCCCAAAGACCCCTCCCAGAAGGCCAGTTCCTGTGGCAGACTGTGAGCCGCCCCCTGTTGATAGGAACCTCAAGCCAGACAGAAAAGGTGAGGGCAGCATGCAGTACCCTTTTTTTCCCCTAAAATGTGGTTATAGATAGCATTCAACTACTTTAATAATGTCTCAAATGGAGATGGAAAATGCCTGAAGTTTTGTGTGTGTGTGTGTGTGTGTGTGTGCGCGCGCGCGCGCGCTCGCTCGTGTGTGCATGTGCGCTCAGTGATCTGCTGAAATTAAGTACAGACATAATTGTTTAAGGATTATTAATTAATCTCTTGGTATAGTATTTCACTCAATTATCTTGAATGGATCATTTTTTGTTACCCAGAATAGAATCTAATCATGTGGAGAATATATTACAACTTGATGTCATTCTTTATAATTTTAATAACTCTACCAGGTAAAATATCTGTCTGTTACTACAGTAATGTTCTTTTTTTGTTATGTGTTTGTGCCTGTGATGGTGTTACAGGTGAAAGAAAGCTTTTCTTTCATTCTTGTTTTTGACCTATACGTATAAAATATAGTTTAAAAACACCTGAGTTGTGGCAGCAGTTTTGGTAAGATTTACACACGAGTTTTAAAACGTGTCCCCATGGACAAAGCTGTTATTTGTGTGACCATGGGCAAGTCACTTAATCTCTTGTCTGATTCATTTTCCTCTTTTGCACAATAAGGGGGTGGGTCTAGATAATTTCCAGGGCCCCTTAAAGTTAAAAAACTGTTTTTCTGACGCAGCCAAGTGACATGATACATAGAATTCTAGGCCTGGCATCAGAGAGACCTGGGTTCAAATCTTGTATCCCCAGCCTCAGTGTCCTCAGCTGTAAAGTGAGCATAATAGTAACACCTCCTTCAGGGGGGTCTTGTGAGGATTAACTGAGAGCCTCTAGATAAAGTGCTTTCACTTGAAGTGCTCCATGGAGGTTAGCTATTATTATTATTAGGCTATGAGCCCCCATTGTTCTGTGTCCCTAACATCTAGCTAAGGCTCAGGCACTCAGAGGACAGTCATTCATTTCATTTTCATTGTATGTGGAATGGCTTCATCTTATCTTAATTCTTTATGTATCATGGAAATTATCTGTATTAGGTAGAGGTTTTTGTTGTTGATCAGTCTTTTTTAGTCATATCTGACTCTTCATGACCCCTTTTGGGGTTTTCTTGGCAGAGATACCAGAATGGTGTGCCATTTCCTTCTCCAACTCATTTGACAGGCGAAGAAACTGAGGCAAACAGGATTAAGTGACTTGCCCAGGGTCACACAGTTGAAGTAGCATGGAGTAATGGGCAGAGGGATGACCTTAGAATCAGAAAGGCCTGAACTTAAGTTTTATTTCCAGCTCATACTAGCTGTGGCATCATAGGCAAGATAATGCCTCAGGTATCCCAAGTAGCTTTCTAAGACTTGAAGTTAGAGATGCCTTATTAATCAGCATTAAGAATGCTGGGAGTTACTATTTCCCTATGCCCTTTGTATTTACTTATATGTGTTTGTATATGTGGAAGTTCCTTCAGGGTAAGGACTGTGGGTTTGTGTATTGAAAACCTTCAAAGCACTATTTATTATTACTAAGAGCTTGGGATCCTACTCTCATACAGTTGATTACCACAGGGCCTGTGTGTCTTCTGATGTGATCCATTGACCTGCTGGGTAGACTACATTCTTGTTTTATAAAGGACTTTCTCACTTATATTATGGAATGATAGAAATGGATCCCTTTTTAAATTCATTTAACTTATAAAAAGTGAGTTCAAAATGTTCTTGCCAGTTTATGAATTTTATCTTTTTTTTTTTAAAGAACACCTGCATAGATTTCAGAAAGTCTATGGTAAGAAAACTAACAGAAAGCTTATTGTATAGTTGGCAGTAGGATGTAGAATAGACCTAGTAAAAAGCACTAAACAGGCTTGCCATACAGTGCCAAAAAGAAAAATTGGTTTTGGTGGGAAACTTTGTGTCTTCCACATCAGTGTGAGGAACTCCCAGTAAAGACTAGCAACTTGCCTGTGGCTTTTAGTCTTAGGAGAGGTTAAGTAAATTACTGTGGTCACTTAGTGAGTATAGATGTGTCAGAGGCCAGACTTGAACCCCAGTCTTCCTGTCTGCAAGGTTGGAGCTCCGTCCAATAAACTATGCCATCTTTATCTTTACCAGAACCAAAATATTGCTCTGCATTTTAACTGTTTAGAGCCAGAGAAATATGGTGAAAGTAGAAGTTGATGTTCAGTGTTTGAATGAAATTTTAAAACTTGGCTTTTACAAAATATGTTACAAAACACATTTAAATGGCAGATTAGTAAGCCTTACTGTGTGATCTAGTCATTATCATTTATGAAAAAAATTTTGGGCAAACATATTGGAGTAAGCATTTATTATGGTGCAGTGCATAGAGCACTGGGCCTGGGGTTGGGAAAACAGGGAGTCATCTTTCTGACCTCGGACACTGAATATCTGGGTGACCCTGGGCAAGTCATTTAATGCTGTTGGCCTCAGTTTCCTCATCTGTCAAACGAGCTGGAGAAGGAAATGGCAAACCACTCCAGTATCTTTGTCAAGAAAACCCTCAAAAGGGGTTATGAAGAGTCAGACAGGACTAAAGAAATGACTGAACAGATGTGCTGGGCACTATGCTGGATACCTGGAGAAACAAATAATACAAAGTATGAAATAATGGCTACTCAGAAGCAGCTTACATTCTAATAGGGAAGAGAGCAAGCACATTAACAAATATATACAGCACAAATATCAAGTTAACAAATGCAAAAATATACAAAGTAGCTTTAACAAACCAGAATTTGACATTGTGGTCTGGAAATGTATGGGCAGTGTCTGTAGGATCCAAAATATGAAAACAAGTTTGATTGAAGCTAATATTTAATGGAAATCCATTGAAGTAGTCACTGTTAGGCATATCATTTTCAGTGGATGAGTCTCCTATCCCCGTATTATGAAGAGCTAACAAAAAGTAACATGCTAGGATTACTTATGGTGACAGCTATAGAGGTCAGCTGCTACAGTGTACAGTACAGATGAGTTTTTAGAATACTTTTGAAGTGATTATATCCAGAAGAGTGCACAAAAGCACCAAACCTCCTAGATTTAAGGCTTCACTCTGGATTCTCTGCCAATGAGTGCCTTTTACATATATGCCCTCCTTTCCCCTGCAATCATGGTATAGAGCTTATTTTGAATTTTGACTTTTTATGTATTTTGTGCCTAGCATTGGATTTAGAAAAAACAGTATTTTAGAGATGTTACTCCTTGACAGAGTAACCTACAAATTATGAAAAAGACTAAAATTTTTGAGAAACTGGTGCAGGATGAAATGTGTCAATTCATGGTTTGGTCCTTAAGGTTAGAACATTACTATAAAAAAATATCGAGACCTAGTGATAAGCCCCAATCCTCCCTGATAACTAACATGAGGTAGCATCTGTCATGTGATAACTCTGTTTGCCTCTGTGTGCTGGTGCTGTTTCTCAAGCATTCTCATTTATAAGAGTGTCAAGATGTCTGTACAGTTCTTACAGGGTTTATGTGACATTTATTAATCACCTACTGTGTGCCAAGTACTCTGTTAAGCACTGGGAATACGATGACAGAAACAAAATAATCCTTGCCCTCTTATTTCTTCAGTAGAAACAACAGGTAGGAAGTTTGATTCCTTTCATCCTTCTGTCATAATATATGGAGCAAAAAGAGTAGTCTAGAGAGTTTCTCTAGCCTCTAGGGTTTTTTTTGGATAGTATATTAGTCTAAATATTTTATATATATGCATTTTTTACACGCACACACACACACATGTACACATATATATACACATACACACACACATACACACACACACATATATATATTCCAAATTTTAATTCAACTTAATAAACATTTATCCCTAGGGATATAAATATAAGGTATGATGTGACTTTTTTTAGAACCTGAATTTGTGATGAAATCATATTATAATACTTGCTTAAGCTTGATATTAAAAAATCTGTCATAGAACAAATATTGAGGGGGATAGAGATGTAAAACTGTTGAATTCAAATTAACTTAAAAAAAAATAAGACTTCTGAGAGTCAGCATAGAGTGATTGCTAGCATTCTTGACTAGAATCAGGAAGCTCCAGGTTAAAATTCTGCTCCTGACGTTTACTGACTGTGTGACTCTGGGCAAGTCACTTAATCCTGTTTGCCTCAGTTTCCTCATCTGTAAAATGAACCAAAAGGAAATGGCAAACCAAATGCCTAGAAAACCCCAGATGGGGTCATGAAGAGTTGGACAGGACTGAAAAAATGACTGAACAACAAACCCCCTAATTTAATATGTAAGTGTTTTAATTTTTTAAATCTTCTTTCCCTTTACTTAAGATTGACAACTGTTATTCTCCACTCTTGATTTTTGGGATGCCTGCTAAAAATAGCTGGTGGTTTAATCAGCTAAATATTTGGCATCGCAGATGATACAGAGGGAAAAGCTTTTTCTGATGGAATTTTCCTGGGTTAGTGACATATTTTCACAGTGACCAATCTTGTGGAATTTTGTAAACATCCTAGGGTAAAAAACCACTAAAGGACAGTTTGCCCCTTAGATGTGGGTGTGCTCATTTGAAGCCATGCCTCTCTTTGGCCTTCTTGCCCACTCAGAGGACAGCTCACAAAACAACCTGGGCTGGTTCTTCCCAAACAGAAAGAATCTCAAAAATCATGGAATAGTGGCAAGAGTACTGGATTTGGAATCAGAGGGACCTGGGTTTGAATCCTGGCTCAAGTTGTTACTTAATACCTTCTTGTCTTGGGCAAGATATATCACCTCTCTAGGCCATTGTTTAAATTAGATACTAAAGTCCTTCCTTCTAGACCTAAATATGACAATATATGAGTGTGTGTGTGTGTGTGTGTGTGTGCGTGCACACACACACACATACATTTATATATATATATAAAAAATATATATATATATATATATATATAAAAATATATATATATATTTTTTATTTATATATTTTTATATATATATAGTCATCTCCTCTTGATTGGTAGCTAA